TTATTTTTAAAACAAGAGTTTAAAAATGAGTTTTTAAAATTTAACACTTGAACTAATTTTTAAAAAGTAATTTAACATGGTTTTAGTTAAAGATTATTGATTAGTTTCTTAAAGTTTTAATTTTATTTTTTAAATTTTTTTAAAATCATAATTATTTTTAACATGGTTTTATTTAAATCAACATGGTTTCTTAGTTAAAAATTATTAATTATTTCTTAAAGTTTAAGTGTTAAGTTTGTTTTCAAATTTAGTGAAAATTATTATTATTTTTATAAAATGAATTTAAAAATGAGTTTTTAAAATTGAACACTTGAACTAATTTTTGAAAAGTAATAGTGAAATTAATATGGTTTTAGCTAAAGATTATTAATTATTTTTTTAATAGTTTTATTGTTATTTTTAAAAAAAATTAAAATCGTTATTCTTTTTAACATGGTTTTATTTAAATCAACATGGTTTTATAGTTAAAAATTATTAATTATTTCTTAAAGTTTAAGTGTTAAGTTTGTTTTCAATTTTAGTGAAAATTATTATTATTTTTAAAAAATAAGTTTAAAAATGAGTTTTTAAAATTTAACACTGTAACTAATTTTTAAAAAGTAATTTGACGTGGTTTTAGTTAAAGATTGTTAATTATTTTCTTAAAGTTTTAATTTTATTTAAAAAAAATTAAAATCATTATTATTTTTAACATGGTTTTATTTTAATCAACATGGTTTTTTAGTTAAAAATTATTAATTATATCTTAAAGTTTAAGTGTTAAGTTTGTTTTCAATTTTAGTGAAAATTATTATTATTTTTAAAAAATGAGTTTAGAAATGAGTTTTAAAAATTTAACACTTGAACTAATTTTTAAAAAGTAATAGTGAAATTAACTTGGTTTTAGCTAAAGATTATTAATTATTTTCTTAAAGCTTTAGTGTTATTTAAAAAAAATTAAAATCATTATTTTTTTTAAGATGGTTTTATTTAAATCAACATTGTATTTTAGTTAAAAATTATTAATTATTTCTTAAAGTTTAAGTGTTAAATTTGTTTTCAATTTTAGTGAAAATTATTATTATTTTTAAAAAAATTTCCAAACTTCGAACACTAAAGCTTACGGACCAACTAAGGACAAGATGCCTAGGCGCAGTTAGTTTTCGACATTTTTAAAATTAACATTTAAACTAATTTTTAAAAAGTCATAGTGAAATTAACATGATTTTAGTTAAAAATTATTAATTTTTTTTCAGTTTAAATGTTAAATTTGTTTTAAATTTTAGTAGAAATTATTTTTATTTTTTAAAAATGAGTTTTAGTGTGAAATCTATATTACGTGAAAACTTTCCGAACTTCGAACACCAAAGCTTATAGACCAACTAAGGACAGGATGTCTAGGCGCGGTTAGTTTTCGACGTTTTTAAAATTTAACACTTAAACTAATTTAAAAAAAATAATAGTGAAATTAACATTGTTTTAGTTAAAAATTGTTAAATTTTTTTTAAGTTTAAGTTTTAAATTTTAGTAAAAAATATTATTTTTAAAAATCGAATTATTATGATTTATGATTAAAAAAAAAAAAGTAAAGAAAACATACCTGGTGGTTGTGAAATCCCTAGGAGTCGTCATCGTGGTTGTTCTGAAACTTACTTCACCTAGCACCAATTGTCAAGACAAACGACGACTATTGCGAACAGCGAACCTCTCTTGGCTATCCTCTTATATTCCTCGTAGTCTGCGCTGAAAGCTGCATCTCTTCCGGGATTCGAAGATCTTTACGCACGCCAGGGCAATCCTTCACCAAGCCTGCGAATACATCATAAACAAAAAAGTAAGACTTTGTAGTGACAGATTCATGGAGACCAAATCCAAACAAGCAAATAACAGAAATCGGATTAAGGAAAGCTCTTAACCGCTGTGGAGATCGGTCGAAGAATCTCCGATTGAACAACCTCAGGTTTCTCGATGTCATACCCTTTTCCTTCTCTTCCGATTCTCGGCGACGCGTTTGATTCCCAAGAAAAATCCGAGAATCGGGAAGAAATGGCTGGAAACTCCGGCGAATGAGATAGTTATTCGTTTTTGGACCTTTTGTGTTACCACGCCGATCAATCTAACAACTCTTAAGGATCATGTTGCATAGATCATCATCATAGGGATTTCACTTCTTCAATGTCTACTAGTTGGATCATCATAGGAATTCTCAGAGTTTCTGTTTAAAGACTTTCGCTCGACAAGAGAAGAAGAAGAAGAAGCGAGAAATAGAGAGAGTTATGATTTTTTGTCTCTCAAGGAAGAAATAGAAGATGCAAAGTGTTAATTAGGTCAATCTTATATATATACACAACAGAGATTACGATATAGCCGTTGGAGGCTGTTATGTTTCCTTTTTTTAATACAAAGAGGTTCAATAGAAAAAGGAAATTGTGATCTCAATTCTTTTTTTTTCTTTCAATGGGCTTTATTTCCTTTTCTTTTTTCTTTCTATGGTTATGCAGAGAAGCAGCAAAAAGGAAAATTCTTTTTTTGGTGATTAAAAATGCAGATACAGATGATGATCCTGAATCAATCCTCAAGCAAACTGTTGAAATATATGGAGATTGTGTTGGTTCCTCCATAAACAGAAGCAGCGGAGATTCTGAGAATTTGATTGATACAAATTTCTCTTCTTGCACAATGAAACGATATTATTATGTTATGTCACAAAGTTTCAAACATATAACAGATTTTGTTAGTTTTTTTTCCCTTTTCCTGAGTTATGCCTTTTTGGGGTTTGTGATGTGTTTATGGATAGTATCGAATATCACAAAGTTAAGAAGAAGAGAATATATTCGGGTCGGGCCCCAGATTCACTCGGTTCACCCATTTAGAATCACTAGGGCACACAAGTTCTCTCACACAAAGCTTTTCTGCATCAAAATTTTGAAGCAGAGAGAAAGAGAGAGATGGGTGTAACGAAGGAGCAAGTCGAAGCTTCGTTGACTTCGAAACTCAACCCTGTTCATCTGGTAACTCAACTAATACTCTCTGTTGTTCATGGTCACTGTGTCTGTCCAAAAGTTGGAAACTTTTTACAACTTTTATCGATCACACATGCATGATGCATCCTCCGTTCTTCGTTTGCAGACTCAAATTTGAAATCTTTATGAAACAGGATCATACTTTTGTTCTAAGACTGGATCATTGACTCACTTATGTGGTTTGCGCAATAAGTTTACCTTGTGATCTTTGCTCTGTATACATCACTGACTTTGTTTAATTTGTGTAAAACCAGGAAGTCATAGACACATCTGGAGGGTAAAGTCTTATGATCACTATATCATCAACTTCCATTTATTCAATCATTTCACTTTTGAGATATCATCTCCAGTTTTCAATTTAAACTTTACCCTTTTTCCCAGCTGTGGCGCGAGTTTTGTGATTGAGATTGTCTCGGAACAGTTTGAGGGGAAGAGATTGCTCGAGAGGCACCGCATTGTGAATGCTGCTCTTGAAGAAGAAATGAAAGAAATCCATGCTCTCTCGATAAAGAAAGCTCAAACTCCACAACAATGGAAGCCAGTATCACAAGACTCCGCAACAACTCCATCCACAGAAGCTTGAAGACAAAAGAACAACAAACAGAGCTTTTGTTTAATCCTTTTGCACTTTACTAAGATAAAAAGCTGTATTTAACTTTGACTTTATTCCATGGTAGCTAATAAGCTTTGAACTTTTATAAGCATCTATGGCGAAATAACTTATGAATACAATGCAATACTGGCTGTTTATCGTCTGCATAATCGACATTCAACATCTTAACAGCCACAAACACTCTCTTACAAAAAAAAAAACAGGCGCAAAGATTTTTACTCTTCCTTCTTCACCTTCTTCTTCTTAATCTTTCCCGATCGTTCTGAAGAGCCTGAAACGGTACTTGTTGAGCTCCGATGTTTACCTGAGGAAGACTCTGAATGTTTTCTTTTTGGCGACTTTGGAGTATCGGTGAAGCTAGAGAAAATGCTCTTCGATTTGCTGCTACGTGTACCGCTTTTATGCCGGCTGCTTTGAGTTAGGTTAGATGATTTCTTAGAGGAATTCGTGACTGATCCAACAAGCTTCTGTTGTGTTCTGGCCTTCATTTTCTGAAGCAGCTCGTTTGGTTCAGGGTAACGAACTATTGCAACTCGCCGAGTAATCTTCCCAGCTACAATAAAACGCACAACAAACATAAGAATCACTAAAGAAAAAGGTAAGGCTGTGTAAACTAAACGATCAAGACTTAAAAACCAGACACAATTTCAGTTACTTGTAAAGTAATGGGAATATACCAATCATTGATTCTTCAGAAGGCATTATCAACTCTGCATCAACATCTTGACAAGTAAAGCTAGCAAGATCATACTTTCCACCTATGAAAAAAAAAACAGAAAACAAAGGCAATGATCCAACTTTGGAGATCAAAGCTAAAATAGTTAAGAGTATGAAAGAACACAAACCATAAACTTACCATCTGAATCCTCGAATCCTCCAAATAACCCATCTTTGTCTGGCTCAACCTTAAGAGTGTCCTCTTCGATTTCTGGAAACTGCGATAAAGAAAAGTCCTTTAGGTGTAGAACATTACATTAGGATCAAATTGCAATAAAGAATCATTCTCTAAACATACTCGGCCTAAAGGGGCTTGGATAAGCCAAAGCTCATCAGAACGCGTTATATCAGCGTCATCTAGCTGCTCTGCGCCACTGACTACGTAATCTTCGGCAGGTTTATAACCAGAATCCATCTCTGCTCAAATCAACTCTCACGAGGTCACAAAAACCTGTCAAATCGAGAAAACAAGTGTTGGAGAGAGCTTTACCATAAATAACAGAAAGAAAGGTGGCTTCGTCGGCGGTGAAAAAGAGAGAGAATAGTTACCGGAGAAATATCGATGGCGGCGATGACCTAAAACCCTTATCTGTTTTCAATTTATTTTTAGTTCTCTCAAAGCGACGTAGTTTTGCATGCATTAACAGGGGAAAAGTATTTGGGCTGAGATGATTGGGCCATAAATGGGCCTTTAATTGATAGTATTGAAGAAGAATAAGCAATGGTAATGGATGATGATGATTATTCAGAAGAAGCTCTTTTTCACTGTAAATCTCATAAACCCTAAATCCCCAAAATGGAATAATCAAATTTTCATCAGAAGAAGATCGCTAAAATCGAAATCTGCTTGATCCCGCAACGAAGAAATGATAAGAAGAAGACTCTCGTCGATCATATCAACATCACTCATCAATTCTTCGTTTCATCAAACCGCAAAACCCAGATTCATCATCTCTTCACCACTTCTTCAATGCCGTCATTCTCCGATCTCTACTCAAATTCCGACCTTTACGAGCAGGGCTTTGTCGTTTCAGGGAATTAGGGCGTATAGTTTATTGAGCTTGAACGATCTGAGAGACAACGTGCCGAGAAAACTCAAGACGAGGAAAGGTAGAGGTATTGGGTCTGGTAAAGGTAAAACTGCTGGAAGAGGTCACAAAGGTCAAAAAGCGAGAGGAACGATGAAGTTTGGTTTTGAAGGTGGGCAAACTCCATTACGACGTCGTTTACCTAAACGTGGCTTCAAGAACAAGTTTAAGCTCCATTTCCAGGTAAAAAGCTCTTGCCTTTCAGTTCTGGGATTTGTCTCTGAGGTCAAGTTTCTGTTTTTGTAGCTTCCAATGATTCGAAGGGTTTACATCTGTGATTGATTCCTTACATTAGGGTCGAATTTGAGAATCCAAATCAGATGGGTCATTCTTGTTCTTCTTTCTGAATGGCATTGTTACTGTTCTTTGGCTGCTTGTGGTGAAGTAGATGATAGTGTGTGTGTAAGGATTTAGGTTTTGACAGTCTATTGATGCAACGACTAAAGATGTTTATGATTGTTTTGTGATGCAGCCGGTTGGTCTAGGAAAGATCGCCAAACTCATAAACGCTGGGAAGATAGATTCTCATGAATTGATTACGATGAAAACGCTCAAGGTTCGGTCATACTTGTCACTCTTTGATTCAACTGTTTAGATTGAGTTGAGGATTTTTAATGTGTCTGCTTCTGACTGAACCTATTAACGTCGGGTTGCAGGATGTGGGAGCCATAGGAAAGCAAATAGAAGACGGAGTAAGACTAATGGGTCGTGGTGCTGATGATATCAAATGGCCACTTCATTTCGAGGTTTACCATTTGCATTATGAACTTTTGCTCTGTATAGTATCAAGTCGTTGCATCAGGCAATGTATTTGCTATGTTAGATATTTAGTTAATCAGTAATGGCATGTTTACTGCAGGTTTCTAGGGTGACGGTTAGGGCAAAAGAGGTGGTGGAAGCAGCAGGAGGATCAGTGAGAAGAGTGTATTACAACAAATTGGGCTTAAGGGCATTGCTTAAACCGGAATGGTTTGAGAAGAAAGGAAGGTTATTGCCAAAAGCAGCTCGACCACCTCCTAAACAACAAGATAAGGTCGATAGCATTGGACGTCTTCCAGCTCCGAAAAAACCCATTCCCTTCTTTGCAGCTGAGGAGAACAAAGTTGAGTCTCCTGTTGAATCATGATTTGGGATTGGCTTCTAACGTTTGATGTTTCGGTTTAAAGTTGTTTGTGTTGTTTCTTGGTCAATGTTCGCACTAGAAAATTGAGAATGCCGGATATTTTTATTTGACAAATAAGGTCTTTCTCGTTTTACTTTTTCTGTATTTGGTCGCAACAAGTTCTTAACCATTTTCAGACTTCTTGTTTGGGATCAAGGCCTGTTCTTGAAGAAGGTTGAGGAAACCAGAGAACACTCTACGTTAGATTTGAATTCATTATTTAGCCGATTTGGTTGAGGCGTTGTTTAATGTTAATGAGTTCAACGGTAATTTTGCATTTTCTTACAAAGAAGCTAAATCTGCAAATATTGATAGTTTTTGACACACTTGCAATGTTTCTAAATTTACAGACGTTATTAAAAATCATAGCAGTGTTATTTTACCAAAACGCCGTACGTAATTTACCTAATTTATAGAAACTAGAAAGGGGATATGATTGCCTGAATTTAAACGACCGAACGTGAAAAAAGAAGAAGAAGATAGTTTTCGAGGTTTCAGAACTCATTACTCTTAACAAACATGTAATGATGATGACTGTACTATTAGTTATATCATTGATTATTTTTGAATAACTACAAAAAAGAAGAGTACTTCTTATCAAATAAATATGGAATTAGATCGGTTTATGCTTCTTAAAAACGATGACAAATTTTAATCATCGGTATAGTCTAAAGGAAGAAAATCAAATACTACACAGAAGAAATTATTGGACATAAATAGTGAATTCGTATGCCTATAAATGTCCAAACAAAACAAAAATATAACCTACAAATCACGGGATGATTTCGTATTTGTCTAAAATCAAGTGTAGTTCAATATCATACAATATATTTTTAAGATGTTTCTGTTTTCTTTTTTTCGTTTCTGTTGATCATACTTTTCTGATTTATATGTACCTACTGATGAATGAAGATCACCTTCCCGGCATAAATGTCACGTTTAATGTCAAAATAAATTAAATGGCTATGAAATTAGATGCAACCTTGGTCCATCACATTGACAAATCACAATAGACATTTCAAAGACATTATTGGTTATCATTAAAACAAATAGATAGATCCCAAGAAAAAAGTCGATTATATATCTCAAGACCAAATCTACATCAGACTTTTTAGTTACACAATATATTTCAAACCTCTTTAAATTTTAAATATTTGACCTTTTCTTTTACAAAAAGATACATAATTTAGTCCCTGTCGAAATTCAAAGTCGTCTATTTCGAATTAATCATAAACTTTTAGATAATTAAATTATTAAATTTATCTTTCGAGTTGATCGTAATAACAAGAACACGTGTATATCATGGAGATGATCGGCTCTCACACTTTGATACATGCAATATTACAAATTCGAGCTATCCAAAAAAATATACAGCTTCCAATTACAAATTCATAATAATAGATTATATGTTTTGCCTTGTCGATATTAATCAAACCAAAAAAAACATTTTCTTTGCATCACAATAAAGAAAGACATTTACACCAGCTTATAACTCAAAAGCAAAGGGGTAATTAAAGAGGGAAACTAAAATGAAAGAAACATACAACTAATTGATAGAAAGAAGCAAAAAAAAAATTCATGACCTTTAAGGCTTTTTCTTTCACGGAGAAGCTCGGTGCCAACTAAGTAAACCGATATCATTGTGTTTTCTAGAGGGACCAGAAGCTGGAACAGGGAAGTGACGTGGCAAGAACCCCAAGAACTGTTTCGATGAAGACGAAACGGCGTCGTTGTGTTTCTTGTGTGGTTTCGAGTCGAAGACGTTCGAGTTTGTTCTTGCTCCATTGCATAAACCTAGAAGGAGAAGAAGAAGAATGGTACTTGTGAAGAAGAAGAACTTAGAGTTGATTCTTGATCTTCGGTTTCTAGACGACATTGTTGAAGAGAGACCTATTTTGTGAAAGGGTTTTTGGTGGATTTGTTTAATATAATTGTTGTGAAAGGACTTTATTTTTGTTTGTTGTTGATGGGGAAAAAGGAGATTGCTGAATGAATTTGTTGACAGCAAGAAATATGGGCAGATAGAGATTGAGAGGGATAGATAGAGAGAGAATCTGACTAAGAAGAGGTTTTGAGTTATGTTTTCTTGTGTATTTAATTACTTCTGGTATTTTCTATTTATTTTTTCACGAACTATTCAACTATGCAAGTAGTTGTAGACTTGTTGACAACTGGTTTTGGTCTACAAGCCGAAGAAACTGTTTGGTGTTAGATTTTTTTTAGACTTTATAATTGTTGATAATTTAGGTCTATGAAAAAATATTACAGGGGGAAAACATTTGCAGTTCTTAAACTATTATTGTTATTTTTTTGAAAAAACAAAAACTTACAGTAACTAATTAAGCACACAAAATGGTTGTAGACTTTATTGTCATGAAGTGGTTTAGGTTCGACGGGATGCGTTTTTTACTTGACCCACATATGATTTTAATATTTGATTATATCTTAGCTCAAAGTTAATGTGAGTAAAACTATACACTATACATGGATTATATAGGAAAGAATGCAAAAATGTGAAAATTGTTGGAAACCATGATTTGTTTACTAAAGTTTTAATGAATGCTGAGAAATTAAGTAGAAACTTTTGTATCCTCCATATTCGTCTTTCACTTTTATGCTAAAGTTATTTGAGTAGTGAAAAGTGAAAACATCCCATTAGTTTTCATCATATTCATCAAAAACACTAACGATAGCTCGCTTAAGACAATGAACGATAAGTTTAGTAACTGCTATGATTATATATTGCAAAACAAATTATCTTTATGGAAATGGTGAAAAGACGTCTGTATGTACGGCGCAATAATTTGTTTTTTCTCTTGTCAACAGTTGCATAAGAATTATTCTCTTTTGCTTTGCAGATGAAATATTATACTTTTTACAAAACTAGCATGGTAAATATTTTTAAAGCTATAGTTGTGCTTTTGGGGATTATCATAACTACTCTTGCTTAACAAGATTATGTGTAAGTTTGGTAAATTCAACATTTAGTTGACTGGCATTTCGAAATCACATGTTTTCAGTAAGGTTTGAGTTTTTCTAATTTTAAAATATGTTTTTACAAAATAGTTCAGTTATTACTATACACATATAATTGTCTGGTTGATTTTTTTTTTTATTTTTTGCCAATTAGTTGATTATGAAATCTGGTATATAGTAATAATTATCATCAATAATTTTGACAACAAAAAAGAAAGGAAATAAAAAGGTTATAACAAAGAAGCTAGATTCATTTGTTTCTTCAAATGCCTTAGGGATGCAAGGTTTCATGTCACCTATTATGTTCAATGAATAAGAAAGAACGGGGAAAGTGGGCAAAGAGAAAATAATAATACAAAAGTGATATGGTAAGGCAAAGCCTTTTATATGTTATGTCAAGATTCAAAAATTTATATAGTTTTAATTATAATAATTTTATAGTTTTCTTTGGTTAGGAGAGAATGATAGGCCCCATTCTAAATATAGTGACCGATATAACTATGTCACAACATTGCAACTATTCAAGCTTTATTGCAAAATCTTCCTCAATTTAAGCTACTTAAAATGCATATAGATTACTATATTTTGTGTAGACACACGTATGCATACAGTTCATATATCAATCACCGTTCTTGCCATTTCAGTCTCTTTTCTAAGCTTTTTCCATGGAGTTAATTAGGGTTCTTCATTTAATGCAACCTTTGCCCAACACTTATACGGTTTTACCATTTTTTTCCTTCACTCTTGTAAGGAAATATAATAAATGATATTCAGAGCCGTGTAGGCATACAAATTACAAAAGATTAATGGGCATATATCCAATAGATCAAACAGTATATGATCTAGCTAATGAGTTACAAATTAAAAGATGTTTTCAAATTTTACTTCTCAGTTAACATGAGAAAGATCAGAATATATCATTATGACACCTGATATCTTGTAATATATAGTTATCTTTTATATACAATTATATTAAAAACATTTCAATGAGTATGGAGTAAAATTACTCTTATTGTCCCAATCTTATGAGAAGAAGTACACGAACAGAAAGTAAACTAAAATAGAAGAGTCTTGGTAATGTCAGGAACAACAGTTGAAATCTAAAGTTGGTCTAAGTCCCATACCTTTCTCTACTATTTCAAACACTGACTACGTCTTAGCTACTCCTATTACAAATCTAGCAACCGTACTTCTCCATTATTATCTCATTCTTTTATTAATATAATATTTCAAAATAATTTTATTTCAGGCCCAAACGAAACTGACTGACAATTCTAGCTAATCCCTAGATTGGGTTGTACAGGTTTCTATTGAATTATAGTTATGGACCATTGATTAATATAATGTAGTATCATAGATATGTACTAAACATTATACTAATGGTAATTGGGTGTGCTTTGTCACATAACTATATATAGAGACTGATTGGTAAGACATTGACCGACATTTGTTTTGTGATGAATGTAATAAACACAAGACGCATCACCAACACAAAGTTTTGTTTCATGAATTCAAACGTGAAACTAAATGTATTCTGTGAGTAGTAAAATAAATAGTTTCTTTAGTAAAAGAAGTAAATAAATAACTAACTTTTTTACACTAGATATCCAATACGCCAGAACATGGAATAACCAAAACAGGCCACTCGACAAAAACTTTTCTAAAAACTCACAATTCGGCAAATCATTAACCAAAATCCCACAGCCCACAGCCATGCATATATGTAATTAAGATGAATGAAACTGATTGTTTTCACACACAGTTAAAATCAAAATTTAAGATATCTTTGGTCTATGGAAAAATTCAAAAGCGTTTGCCAAAATTGCATTAACCCATCTAAGTAATCTTTTTAAAAATAATATTACTTGTCACAAATTTTAGGAGTTTTATATCTAAAGTTTTTCAGAGTAGCTAGATATCAGAATAAACTATAGTCTCTTTTCCGTCGTTTGGTATCTGAGTTATAATCTTCAAAATTTAAAAAAAATAAATTTATATATATATATAAATTTATTTTTTTTAAATTTTGAAGATTATATATATATATATATATATATATATATATATATATATATAAATTTCCTCCTTGCGCTGCAACTACGTGAACCCACAAACGTTACTTCTTTATTTAGAAACAAATTTTTTTATTTTTTTTTTTTGATAAACCCTATCGGCTATCCGGTCGGTCCCGGTAAGAACGCACCGAGGTGCTACATAGTGGACTGGTTCACCGTGTTAACGGTTAGGCCCTTACGGGCTACCACTCTGCCTATCTCGAGTTTGAAATGCCTTCCGACTAAGTGCCAGTGGGTAGTCAGGCCGCCTGCATTTCTGGCTACCAGATAAACCAATTGGGCCAAGGCCCAACTGACAGACTTCCCAAACAAATGTGTTTTTGTTTCCAGAGAGAATCGAACTCAGGTTTGGGAGTTTCACCATTTTCCAAAACTTTCTCTGCCACTAGACCACGGATGCTCGAGCATTTAGAAACAAAAATACTTTGAACGCATAATAATTAATAACTCAAATATATGCACACGTGCGATCGACCGTGTTTATATATGTGATAAGATACATGTACCTGTGAAGAAACCAACGTTACGTACTTAAATTAATACGCGTATAGTGTACGGAACGGTCGGGGTAAAGGTGGTGCGAGGCATGTCTCATGAGTCGAGTCACGAGTCACGGTCACAACTCATGAATCGTGATCAGTCATGAATGAATAATATTCATTGAAAGTGATTCGAGCATTCACATTATATGTCGCACCAACTATCGTGTTTGTGGCTGGCATACAAATTGCCTCATCCATATTTCTTATAGTATACATGTATCTCAACTCTCAAGCACCTCCGGCTCAATATATTTGAGAACCTTAGGGCAAAAAAATTTTTTTTGGCCTATTATTATATACAAAGAGAAAATTTATTTAATTTTTAAAATTTTTGCGGAGTATTTATAGTAAAAATTGTTATTTTAAAAATTTTGAGCCTTTTTATACATTTTCTTATAAATAATTAGACCTCTTAAAATATAATTCTCATATTAATAATATTTTTAAAAAATATTTGGGCCTTTTTTATATGTAATTTTTTTTATAAAAAAAAGCCCCGGGCCGTCGCACCTCTGCCTTACCCATCTGAGCCGGGGCTGCTCTCAAGCATACTATTTCGCAGAGAAGTTAGTTTTTTCAAACATTTCAACGCCATAAACTTAGCAAGGTTTGTATTTTTGGTCCTTTTGATTTGAGTAAAATAACTGGTGTCATAAGTTAACAGATATATAATAAAGTAATGATTGAATTCATAAATTGAATCATGTATATATATGTAGGAAGAGTGAAGACACGGACAATTTGGTGAGCTAACAAGTTCGTTAGCTACCTTTTGAGTTTCCGATGAATTAATGTTACCTTTTTCATAAATAATTATATGCTCGCAATTTATATTTTCAACCATCCAAAACTTTTAATTACTTTCGGTGCATCCACATTATCTACATGTCCAATATTTTTTACTAAGCATGAACATTTTATTAATCGTTAAAAGAAAAAAAAAAAAAAACTATTTGTGGGAAAACTTTTCCCATTTCTTGTCGGAGACATAGCAGTTTAGTTTCAATGAAACAATAAATACGCTTGCTTAGAAAATCTTGGTTTGACTTTGACCAGAGCACCACAGTAGAACACTGATCGCACACGTGCTATGGTTTCGCGTCTCTTCGGTCATCTCACAAACTCAAGACGCCAAATCTAATCTCAAGAAGGACCACAATAAGAAGGCGATTTAGACGTCAGGTTTGTGTCATCAAGAAAGTAAAAACGGCAAGAAGTTTTTCTTTCTGAACTTCTGAAAAATGAGAAGCTGCAAATAGCGTAGATTACTATTTGTCTACCCGAAAAATTAACCAAAGAATTTACACTATTGAATTATTTTCTCATGCATTTCGTATATCCGTATATGCATGCATGTTGGTATTTAAAATGATGGATATTTTTCTAACGAAAGAAACAAACTAAATGGGCCTTGAATGATTAAATATTAGGCTAATAGGCCCATATAAAATCTACTAAAGCCCGTAGATTCCACTTCCAGATATCGCTTATTTTTCTGTTAACCCAAAGTGTTTTATTTAAATTTCTTTCATTTCATTATACTTAAGTGGCAAAGCAGATATTATTTGTATTTTGCGAAACTATGTCATTTAATTAAACTACGTGCTTTTAAAAAATAAATAATAAATAAATTATGAATGTAATTTCGGGAAAAACAAAACACAGCATATCAAGCGTTAATTAATATGATTCAATAGTATTATGTATTTTCTCTGTATAGCATGATATAAGAACAAACAATGTGCTACTTTGTTTTGGAAAATATGAGCATCATTTGCCACCAGAGTAATGTTTAAGAACAATTGACAATTAGCTATTTGTTTAATTAACCTTCAAATTTAATCATACGCTTTACCAACTTCTTTATAGGGAATAAAACTATATATTATCATCATAAGTCATAACCGTGGACTTGACTAATTAAAGCATCATGATCCATCTTTCAAATTTGAACGTTCAAATTATTTTCCCGCAAATATTTTAGAAAAGTAGATGAGAATACAAAATTTGTTAGAGAGTTAAACGTGTGTGGCAAATCCAATAGTTAGAATTTCAATTTTCATAAACTTCCATGGTTTCATATTTGGTGCTTCACATTCATGTAGACTAAACATAAAAGCTTAAACGTGCGGGACGCAAGTGTTTGAATCAACCACAACACGTAGAGCCTCTCACGTGCAAGCAATTAGTTTATTCATTATTTATATCTTAAAAAGAAGAAAATCTCCTAATTATAATGCTAATTGCCTAAATCACTATTCAAGTTCATTGCACGCTGTTTGGTGTTTAGTATTGATGTCATTGTTTGACTTTGACTTGGAACTATTTGCATGAAACAAGAGTTGGGGTTAGACTTGTTATTGGCAAGTCTTAGAGCGTGATAGTTGAATAAATGATTCATCGAGGAATAAATGATTATAAAAGATAGAAATCAGGTTTAGTTAAAGAATCATGGTACTTAACTTTAAAATGTAAATTAGCCGACGGTCATAAATTTTGAAGGGTGAACTTGTAATGAACATAAGTAGACACATCTGAAATAAGTATCGAAGAAGAAAACAAGTGTCACGTCATGTGTTGCTAGTTGCGGACATAAAACAAACAGAAGTGGAGGTGCAACAAAAGATGCAATTGTAGCCCATAGAATCTGTCCGGTCAATTGAACAATTTTGTTCATTTATTCTTCTTTTCTCCTTTTCTACGTAATATCTTTTCCATTTCTCATTAGATATTATTGGTTTCTGCCTACATTTTATAAAATTTTGAGAAATATACAGCATATAGTGAACTGTAAATTTGTTAAAACATATAATTTTAACTACTGTTTCATCTATTTAGGTAAATAGCCAAATGAAAAATCTCTAACTAAACCGATTCAGCAATATTTGAAGCTTATTCGATTAAATCGAATAACACGTTACAAATTTTCCAATGTGAAAACGAGGACGGAACACTAAGAAACAAGATAATGAGGGATATTATAAAAAATAAAATCTAAATTGAAGGGTCGTCAAAAAATAATAAAAAAGTTCCCAAATTTCCACAACAAATCTCAAACGTGCAATTTCACACCCCAAAACTCGGTGCGTTCTTAAGACGTATAAGTGGACCCAAATCTCAAACGGTGGAGCGTGGACCCCACTCTCTCGACTCTTATATCTGCATCCACTTTCCATAAATCCTCACCGCCCATTCCCAACACGTTAGATTTTAAAAATCCAGATCAACGGCTGTGATATATACCCGATTGAAAATCTCTAATATTAACGCGCCGAAAGAAGACTTCTTCTTTGACCAAACGACCTACAAGTGAAACATAAATAAAATCGATTTTAATATATCAGATTTTATTTTTACGTTTGAATACGAATATATATTTTTCAACTTTGGAGTGTGTTGAAATATTATTCTAATTTTGTAGTATAGTTATTTTATAATAGCATAAAGAGAAGAGAAAAAAAAAAAGTTATTCGATTTATGTAAAAAGAAAAAGGTTATTCGATTTAGTCATTAAAATAGTATTAAAAGATATTTAAACACTAAAATTCTCGTCAAAAAAGTGAAATTTGACGTCACCAAAGTTTGACTCTTTTTCTCTTTCATCTTTTAAACCAAACCCCACGCACTAAAACATAAACAAGAAACTCTCTCTCTCTTCTCTTTCTCCCACACGCTTTCTTTTGGAGCAAATCGGAAAACAAAAAATCAACGGCCAAAGCAATGAGGAAGGATGATCTCTGCATCACTGTTCCTACGTTCTTCCGATGTCCTATATCACTCGACGTTATGAAATCTCCGGTGAGTCTTTGCACCGGCGTTACCTACGATCGAGCTAGTATCCAACGGTGGCTCGACGGCGGGAATAACACTTGTCCGGCGACGATGCAGATTCTTCAGAACAAGGATTTCATACCTAATCGGACTCTTCAACGTCTTATCGAGATTTGGTCTGACTCTGTTCGTCGTCGAGTTTGTGTTGAATCGGCGGAATTAGCTGCTCCGACGAGGGATGAGATCACCGATGCGATTGATAGAGTGAAGATCGAGAAAGAAGAAAGAGATGATCGCGAAGTTTTGTCGAAGATTGTTCGATTCGGAAGAGAATCTGATGATAACAGAGGATTTCTCGCCGGAAAAGATGATTTCGTGAGACTTCTCGTGGATCTGATTAATCAGGTAGATTTCAAAACCACCTCCGCCGCGAAGTCTCTGGTTGTTCAAGAGGCGGTGAAGATTCTGAGTATGATTCGAACCAAAATCTCAGATCGGAGGCGGTTTTCGAATCTGATTTTAACCAACGGTCGAGATCGGTTAACGGTTATCGTCTACTTGTTTACAACCGGGAATGTCGAATTGAAAATCGATTGCGCCGGTTTACTTGAGTTCATCGCCGTCGACGCTGAGTCAAAGCTGTTAATCGCCGAGAGAGATGGTGTAATCACGGAGCTAATGAAATCGATTAGCAAAGATTCCGATTTAAGCTTAATCGAATCGAGTTTATCGTGTTTGATCGCGATTAGCTCACCGAAACGTGTGAAACTCAATCTAATCCGAGAGATACTCATCGGAGATGTTACCAAATTGTTATCAGATTCAACGTCGTCGAGCGTTTCGGTGACTGAGAAATGCTTGAAGCTTCTCGAGATTTTAGCATCTACTAAGGAAGGGAGGGCGGAAATTTGCGGCGGAGATGGCGAGTGTTTGAAGACGGTGGTTAAGAAGCTGATGAAAGTTTCGACGGCGGCGACGGAGCACGCCGTGACGGTGCTATGGAGTGTTTCTTATCTTTTCAAAGAAGATAAAGCTTTGGAAGCTGTTACGAGTGCTAACGGAGTTACGAAAATTCTGTTACTGTTACAGAGCAATTGCTCTCCCGCCGTTAGACGTATGTTAACGGATCTTCTTAAGGTCTTCAAGGTGAATTCAAGATCTTGCCTTTCGGCTTACGACACCAAAACGACACATATCATGCCGTTTTAATCAATTCTTTTTTTACTTACTAGGGTTTCGTTCTTAGGATTTGTTTCTTGGGAAAGAGGTTAAAAGGGTAAGAAAATTTGTAAACAAAATGAAATTTTGAATAGTTAATATAAACTAAAAAGAGATTCAATTCATTGCTCATTGAATGTGTAGTCTATTATTCTCTTATTACTGGAAAGTAAAATCAAATAATAACAATGTTCGTGAATTTTCTAATCATATTGTTCGTATCATTGATATGAAATTGCTTTTCTCTAAATGCGCATTTTGAATATATTCTGTTGGTAATAGGTCCAAAATTGTCAAAAAGATAAATACGTCATATAGTTCCGATCGACCCACAATTTGTAACGATGTTACATGTGATTTTTGATTTGTCTTTAGAAGATTCGAATACATCATACACGACATAGACATAAGCCTATATAAGTCATAATCATTCGAATACATCTTTTTCCTCATCTTGTGGTATTATTTGTGTGTCAAAAGTCCATACATAATCTTAGCCTCTATTAATCTTTCGTTCGTGATCACTGCCAGCAATCACTTCACTGGCTAACACTTAGTTAGAAAGTGTTCTAGCTACAATCACTAACAAAATTTGAACGGATCAACTGTCTTCAAAAACACATGATTTTGATTTGTTCGTAGAATTTTACTATCATCTTCAATAATCAATATAGTTGGTTTTAGAAAGTGAACGGTTATATATGTATTTGATTATCTATTGTATGATACCAATTATTTTTAAAATATATAAGCTTAAAGTTTGGGAGGGTCTCGGAAAACCCATGAATGCGCTGGTTGGTTCCCCATACTTTTATAAAACAAAACAAAAAACTATATACTATTTTAAAACTATATTACTTTTTAAATTATTGACTATTTACATCGAACTGACCTTTTATGTTTTTGGATTCTTAAGTGTTGCTATTATCTTTTATGATTGTTAGAAGACACATATTAAAATATTAGAGTATAATACTCTCAACGAGTCCAACTTTGAGACATTGCCTTTGAGTCTTTGACTATGAATGCGAATGAGAAGAGTCGACAAACCGCCCACAAAATATGAAAATTGTGTGATCCGTGTTTTATTTTATAACAATAGTCTTTGGTTTTGGTCAGCGGAAAAGTTAGGTATTTCAATTGTTATTTTGATTCTTGGTATATATAGTATCAAGGACAAAAAGTAACCGATGGAAACATTATATGAATAATTTAATTCCCAAATTTCATTATAAATTCAAAAACATTTTTTTATATGACACAAACGGCGTTCTTATGTAATTGGGCCAGAAAATGAAAAGATCCGGCCCATTAATAAGTTGAAGGGTCCACACCTGAGCTGGGTTTATCGAAGGGTTGGTTATTTCTTATTCTTCTTCTTCCGATTCGCATTTTCCGATCGCTTCGCCGTCGCAGAAATGACCAAGTTCAGGAAGCTCGGCCGCCCAGCTGGTCATCGTATGTCCATGCTCAGGTTACTTCTTCTTCTTCTTTTTTGTTCTTAGTAGAAACATTCTCATTGATCTGATTCGTCTTCGCACATTGCTTAAAATTTCTCTCGATTCAAATCTCAATAGGACTATGGTTTCTCAATTGGTGAAACACGAGCGAATTGAGACCACTGTTGCGAAGGTACTAATTCCTATTTCCCCCAATTTTTGATTTACTTTTTTACATGGGGTTTAGCTAGGGTTTATAGTAGTTATCTGATGAGAATCTGTTGTCTCACTTCTTCAAAATTTCAGAAAACGTTTCTCATTGGGTAACATTGGGGTTTTGCAGGCTAAAGAAGTCCGTCGTCTTGCTGATAATATGGTTCAACTTGGAAAAGAGGTAATCAGAGACTATAGTTGGTTTTTTAGGACTGTAATTGTGCTCAAGTGTACACAAATCTTGGTTTTTTAGCTCAGGAATGGTTTTTGCTTCTCCGGGATTAGTATTTTAGATGAATTTGGTTGAGATAGAGAGCAAATGTAACTTCTTTTCGTCTGATTTGCGATCACTTTCCATATCGGTGATGAAATGATTTATTACAGGGCTCACTCGCTGCAGCAAGACGAGCTGCTGGGTTTGTTAGAGGAGATGATGTACTTCACAAGATTTTTACAGAATTGGCTTATCGATACAAGTGAGTCCTCCTATCTCGGTTTTTTATTTTTAATTTTATTTGAATCTTTGCTATGTACTCTGTTTCATCAGCTGGATGTTGTTATGTGTTAACAGAGATAGAGCTGGTGGATACACAAGAATGCTTCGTACTCGCATACGTGTTGGTGATGCTGCACCAATGGCCTATATCGAGTAAACAAATTTCTTTTCTTTATTCTGTTCACAGATGTACATTGAATTCGAGTTTGGTTTAGCCACATTTACGACAAAATGGATGATGCTATATCTTAAAATCAAACATTAAGACTGTTGAATTCACATATATCTAGTTTTTGTGTATCTCGAGATACCGGTACTTAATTCTAGTTTAGGAAGTTTCCGAAGTGAGCTAACTGTTTTGACTCTTGTTGGTGCAGGTTTATTGATAGAGAGAACGAGCTAAGACAATCAAAACCAGCAACACCTCAACCTCCACCTCGAGTGCCACTTGATCCATGGGCTAGATCCCGTCTCACCAGGCAATATGCTCCACCAAAGGAGGAGAAAAGTTGGGATTCCGACCTATAAATATAAGATCTCTCTCGCTCTCTCACACCAAAAGATCATGTTTTGTTCCCCTTGCCCTGTTGCCCATGTTGTTTCTCTTTCTACCCATAGCTTTGTGTGTCTGTCACCTTATTCATCAATGTCATTCACAATATGTGTTTGACACATGGTAAAACATAACAAAGTCATTTACTTTTAACCCTTTGAAACAGTTTAAATGTAGTTTCCTTGAAGCATCAAGCATTTTTACCCATTTCCTTAAAAGGAACACTTATAAAGTTCTTCTCATTTTTCTTGCATCTACAATATGATGTTAAGAGTCTTCAACCACTCGAAAGTATGATATTAAAGGGGCTTTAAAGTTTCCTTCTTTTTTTGGTATGATATGGTTTAAGTGGTTTCTTCCATCACTCAAAAAATTATAACTTTTTGATGGATTATTATCTTCAATTTTTAATCTATGAATCCCCAATGAACGATAAAGAAACCACACTAATATTTGGCACTACAATAAAGTTACAATGACGACTTCTCTTCCCCTCTTTTCAAAATCCTAAAACCTCAATTTTCCTTTACAAAATCAAGCAGTCGTGGAAGCCCACTCATCAGCCTGAATAAAATTGGCCACAGAGTAAACATCAACATGCTTCTCTGGTATCTCACTACTCCATGGAACCCTATTCGTTCTAACCGATCCCGGACCCTTATTCTTGTACTCACCGTAATACAAAGTCTTCAATGCGAAATCCCCGCTCCAAGGCATCCATCCATCAGGACTAATCAAAGACTCTAGATTACAGTTTACAAAAACCGTCCTTGAAAACTCCTTCCATGGTCTACCCAAGAAGTTCTTATGCGCTTTAGGATTAGCTTGAAACTCCTTCATGTATTCCTCTGTTCCGTTAATCGAACAGTTCAAAAACACAAATCCCGTGGACTGCGATGCGTCAATCCTCCCGTGTGCTGTGATCGCGTTGTTCGCACCGCCTTGCTCGAGTTTGGAGTGTTTTGAAGCGATTAGGATATCACAGTCTTGGAATACGGCAGCTGAGTTACCAAAGATAAAGTCTACGTTGCCTTGGATTCGACATTGTTTGTAGAACTGACGGAGAGAGTGAGCATAAACAGTGTCTTGATTCCCAAGAAACTCACAGTTTTCGAGTATCGAGAAATCGCTGTCTGATCTAAACGCAACCGCTTGGTGCGCATCTGCTCCTGCCGTGTTCTCTATAGTTAAATCACGAGCCATAAATCCATCACCGAGAACTCCTACCAAAACCGAAAACAAGTAATAACGTAAACATTATTTAGCAACTTTTATAGTCTATTATTAGAAGATCTATGTTTATAGAACAAAATCCAATGTATATATTTTTCCAAGTAAATGTCACATGGTTTCTGTCTCTAGTGGAACCAGGGACAGTCTCATTCTATCGACATAACTTGAATCTTGAAATTAAATAACAATAAATGATATTCTTTTTACGTGGCAGAGCAAATCTAGACACAGTACTAAAAAAGACATCACAAGGGTAAAAGAAAAAAAAAACAAATTTATGTTTGACTTTAATGTTATTCTTCCCATTTATGTTCCTTAATTAGTTAGTAGTAAACTAGTAATCGATTTAAAGAAAGGTTTAACGAAGTTAAAAAAAACTCACCGACAGTTGCAGAGTTAAACGTTGTCATTCCTGGTTGTCCAACATTCAACGACCCTGTAATTACCGTTTTGCCCATTCCGTCACCGATGAAGACGACGTTCTTTTTCTCAAACGGAACCCTAACAGTTTCCTCATACACACCTTCTTTAATCCGTATCACAAACTTAACGGTTCCGTTAGTATCCGGCGCTGCATCAACGGCTTCTTGCACCGTTTTGTAATTACACGCTTTCCCTCCGTTTTCACACACCGTCACGTCTTCCGTTAAACCAGACGGAAAACCCAAATTAGCCTCTGTACCCGTACCCGAGCCCAAACTCGGCCCAGCTTTTTCCCAAAACCCATCTCTTTCCGTCGCTGGACGAATCCACGAAACGACGTCGTCTCCGAAATTATCGAACGATAACATCATGCTCAACGCGTTTCCGGTGAGGTTCACGAGATCTTCGAAGAACGTGATCGTGTCGACGACTTGCTTCGTGTCGTTGACGGTTTTGAGACCTGACCAGCAATCGAATTGGTAAGCTAGAGCTGCGCTCATCCACGCACGAGCGTCTTTGATTTCGCCGCTCGTCACGGCGATGTCCGTTGATTCGGTACGGTGTTGAGAGTAAGAGAGGATCTCGAGGCAAATGGTGGCGATGTTCGTACGGTTTTGATTCCCTGCGGATGAGTCTAGGATTGATTTGATTTTTGATTGGCCGGATTTGAGATTCTCGAAGGAGACTGAAATTGCAGAGTGGATTATTTGAACCGGTTTAGGATCCGGAGGGACTTGACCCGGTTTAGAGAGCGAGGCAACGCAATGGTCTGGGAAACGCGTTGCGTTACATGCGAGACGGATCTGAGCAATTGGAGGAGGAGAAGGAGGTGTTTCCGGCGGAGGTTGATCGTCGGAGGTTGGGGTTTGGTGCGATGGATTACGGTGGCTGCGGGAGGATTTTGAGACGGTGGCGTAGATGAGGAGAGATATGAGGAGGAGGAGAATACAGGACACGGCGATGATGATGAGGATGCCATTACGGGAAAGGAGTTTATTCCGGTGAGGTTTTACGGCGGCGGAAGCGAATGGGGTGGAGGAAGAGGCGGAGAGAGAGTACGGTAGTTTCGGAGAATCCATTGGAGGGAGAGAAGATATTTTTGTATGTATTTGTGTGTGTATAGGTGGAATTGTTTATACAAATTTAATTGAAACTGGAAAAAAAAGAAATTTGAAATTGAAGAATTATTGAAATCTGATTGAGAGAAAGAGACAGAGGATGAGATTCAGAAATTGAGAGCGATAGCCATTGGAGATGAGAGAGTTTGATTTTCTGGGTTTTTGTTTTTTCTTTCACCTTTTTTACGGCTGTTAAGGAAAGAAGAAAGGGTTTAGAAAATTTAAATTAGGGTAAAATTATGTTGTTTTTACCGGTCAATTATTGTTGTTATTCACCAATTGGTTTAAACGGGCCGTAAAAGCTCAAGCCCAACATCCCTTGACATTGTTGCATTCAAGCTGTATAGTGTATGATATTTGGGCCTTTAAGACATTGATGCCAAGCTAACTAACTCATGTATTACTACGAGCCCAGAAATGATCCACAATGTACGCAAAACCATCACATGCGTTCATACATATGTGAGTCTATCTATGTACATTGCCTTTGAGACGAGACATATGACTAAATAAACAAGTCCATTTCCAACATGGCAACCTGACTATAATTTGCTACAAAAATCCATCGATACAATTCATACATTTGATGTCTAAATGTAGCCTATGAGAAAGATATTTGTAGCAGGGTACAAGACAGATGGAAAAAGAAAACATCAGTAGTTAGTTTACCATTAGGGGTCAATAGCCATTGGTGTGATGCGCTTCCTTGCTGGTTTATTTGAGACCGGTGTGTTAACTTTGCTCTGCAATGGCTGATTCTCTTCCTCATGTCTTGTTTCTGTCATCACTTCATCATCGGTTTTCTGCATAACATGCTCTTTCTCCTCACCATCCGTGGTAATTTTGCTTGGCAATGGCTGTTTGTTCTCTTCGTTTTGTTGTAATTCAGCCTGTTTCTTGCTCACGTCTGGTGTTGTCTCGGTCATTAGTTCATCGGCTTTCTCTAAATCATGCTTTTTCTCCTCAGCATCGACGGGTTTCCTTCCAACTGTAATTGAATTGATGGGTCAATCGGGTTCTGGAAGGTTAGCGAGTGAACGGACTAAGAGCAAACCTGAAATAGGGATGGATTCTCCTAGTTCGTTATCTTCGAATTCAACTAGTGTGCAGTAGCCATCTTGTGAGGATAGTGCTAGATACGATGCATTAGGTGACCTATTGAACAAATGATCATTGGTTACAATTAGAAACCTTGAATATTTGGAGGGATCATCCAGATCTGAAATAAATGTGTATATTCTTTTTACCATGTTATATCGGTTATTGCAGCGTAGTGGAGACCTGCTAAGACTGCAATTGGAGCAACACACTCTGTGTCATATATGTACACCGAATTTAAAGTTGCTATGGCAAAGACAAGACGGTAAGGAAGCTTGAAGAAACCCTCTTCTGCAGATTCAAGAGAAATATATACGTCATGAGGGCCTTTTTATCATATAAGAAACTAAAAAAAGTGGTATGAGAAAACATAATATGTACCAGAATGTGAACCACGGAGTTTGAATGCAACAGGGCAAAAACGAACCACTACAACCGGTTTGCTGGCACCTGGAAGCTGCAGTGCAGGTCTGCTTGTGGAAAAATGAAATGAGCTAGGGTGAGACTTTGTATTGATTTCTAATTATCTCATACATAAGCTCAACAAGTTGAATCCACTTGGCTCAGCTTAAAGAAGAGCTTACCTGCCTTTACGACTTCCAAACTATAGATGGTGAGGTGATTATCTTACCTTGAAAGGTCCTTCCTAGAAAAGACATAGGTAGCATTTACAGCTTCGGATGTGGGTGAAACCTTGAAAGAACCTGGAAATGCAACACAGTGATAACACGGACTGTTAGAGACATTAATAATACCCGAGTAAACAATGTGATGATCTAGGCCAACTATCTGAAAAACAAGACTGGTTTTTATGGATAATAACCTGCTGGAATGAGTAAAAAAGATCCATCAGGTGACCATGACAATCTTCGAAAGAAAGACGGCAATGTCTCATCATGAAAGAGATGGGTTTTTATTGTCTGCATAAAATGTCATTTTGAAATCAGAAATACTGAGTAATTGTGATGAATCATGAAGAAAATAATTTCTCTCTAACCTTAGTTTCATCTCCCCGTTGCTGATCTGCTTTCGTGATAACATGCTGGCAAACATAGTTCAGTTTTTCAACACCTTTACTCTTTGTTTGAGGCTTATTGACATATATACGGCATGTTCTGTCTGAACTAAGAGAGGCTACATACTTAGCTAAGGGATCCCAGGCAACACCTTGAACATAATGACAGTGGGCATCCAGTATCTGATGGACAGTACCTTGTAGCAAATACAGAATTTTGAGAAGCAGAAAATCTGGAATTTATCACGAAAACCAATTTAGGTCCTATTGTAGTTTCTCACCTTTGCTAACGTCCCATATAATGCAAGAGTTGTCCACTGAGCCAGAAATCAGATAGGCGTCATCAAGAGACCACTGGAGATCCAGGACATCCTTTCGATGAAATCTAGCAGGGCAAACAAAAGTCAAAACATATCTCTTAACCTATATTGCTGCTTCAGAGATAGTGGAGGAAACATTGAAAAGCAGATGCATTCCACCACAGCATACACTAGATTGGGTCCATATTGGTAATTTTGGTGAAACTTTCATATTTCAACCATGTTACTAGCCTAGAGAAGCGTTCTCCTCTCTTGATAGAGCAACAGTATTCAAACACCCAACCTAGGTTCTTAAAAGATGGTTCTTGATAGGCTCCAATATAACGATTACAAAAGCATGGCAGTGTAGCTTATTATTCAGATTGAAAGGACTCACGATAAAGATTTGTGAACTTTCCAGGACTGATTGGTTTCACTAGGATGCAACTTCCATATAAAAAGCTCGCCTCCTGCATTATAACAAAAAAAGAAGTACATAATAGGTTTCACTAGTCATTCAAAATATGCAAAACACACTTGCATTGCATCTTAGCCTCATACCATCTGCTCCCGAGGCAAGTAGTTCCCCTGCATATAATCATGAACACTCAGTCACCACTAGATGACACAGAAATTAACATGATTACAACTCAAAAACATCTCTGATAACAAAAAGCTGGTGATTACCAGATGGAGAAAAACGAATGGTATTGACAGCACATCCATGGTAAGTAAGGCTACTCTGATAAGATACACTAGGAACCTTCTTCTCCGCTTGACCAGAATTTATCAACCATAGCTGAATCATTTTCAATTCAATATCAGTCAACAGTGAATGTAACGTCAACGATCAGAACCAAAAAAATTGCAGATGTTAAATTCATGAACTCGTAAATTTCTAACAATCGCAGTTTCAAACATTCGAATTCCAAAATTTCCCGCTCAATTAGATGCTTATTGATCTAACTAGATCCAGAAACTGTTCCAAACTCAGATTCTAAACTCAGATTTTGAATTCAGAATTGAATTACCTTGATGTCGTAATCGGCTCCGGCGGTGGCGAGTAAACCGGAAATCGGATGAAAATCTAGGGTTAGCACCGGTTTCCCATCGTGCCAACTTATCTGTATCGTACCTCCCTTCATTTTTGTCAATCCTCCACAATGCCCAGAATCGTGATTCGGATTTTCTCGAGAAAATTTCTAGGGTTTGTGGGATTAGTGGGAAGAAGAAGAACTAAAAAAAAAGGTACTTTCACTCTGGCGCGTCTTTAGGGATCATTTGGGCGCCAAATATTAGTCTCCGTGTCAAATGACGATTTTATCCACCGACTTGCCCGGTTTAATGATATCTAACACCGGTCTGATTAGTGTTCTTATATGGTTTAATTATTTTAATGCTTTTAGTTCAATTATGAGTCGATTATGTAAACTGATATCGAAAACTGTAGTCAATGACCTACGAACATTCACTTTCAATAATTTAGACTACAATATGTTTCCACCTTAAATTAAATCTATTTTGTAAATATATTAAAAAGTCATACGTCTTTTGCTTTTGATTCGCATAGCAGTCGACGTCGTCTTAAAAGCAGTAGTAGTTATGAGGTCGATCGATAACTATTCAGCTTTAAAATTATTTTTAAAAATATATAGACGACGTTACCTTTCTCTTTTAAGATGACACTTTTGAAACCTTATCGCAACTTTTTTAAATTTTAAGTATATAACATCTCCGAAGCGATAACACGTATAATGCATATAGATAAAGCAAAAGTTACCTAAAGATATATTCAATCAAACGAATATAAAAATATCTCTAGTACTTCCCAATTCTTAAGAAGCCTTTTCCCCCAAATATTTGGCACTAAACACGACTACTTAAGATTTTGGTATGATTAGTAAATTGATTGAGAAATATTAAATTCCAATATTCTGATGAGATCTCTAAGATTGTTCTGCTTGGCAATTTGAAAGTAATAAAGTAACGGTATCAAAAGTTACAAATTCCATATTAAATTCCTGAAATACGATTTAACTTAAATAGAGCTTTTACCAAAGTTAATGCAAATGTAAATCATTCAACAAGGCGATCAAGAATATCGGAGACAACACCGCATATACGTCTCAGACTCGCTTCACGCCGGCGAATCTCCACCGGATAAGCCAACCCTTTAACTCGCCTAAATATATTCCGGCAAACATTAGGATAATCCTGCGCCGCCAACACATGCATGGAAGCGTAGTCATAAGCTTCGTTATCAAGATCTTGAATTGTTAGCCGGAGAGAATCAGCGGCGAGAGTATACTTCTCGGAGCAATCTTGTAAGACCTTTTTAAGGACGGTGTCATTTACGGTGGTTGATAGGTTCCCGGCGAGGTAAGTTGCGGTGGAGGTGGCGTTTGTCATACCAACGCCGACCATAATGGCGGCTAGACCTTTTGTGTCGGCTGTGGGACTTCTTGGGTCGGATTTTAGAGCTGAGACGCAGAATTTGTAGTAGTTTGTGGTTTTGCAAGTTGATTCGATTATTGTTGTGTTGGATTTGGCTGAGATTAGGGTTGATGCTGAAAAGGTTAGGGTAACGAGGAGGAGGAAGATGAGAGAAGTAGCCATCTCAAGAAGAAGGTTTTGAGCAACTGTTTGCGGAGAGATAGAGATGGAAGAAAGAGGATTCTTGTCTTTATATTCTGAGCAGTATCTTGAATTACATATTTTTTTCAATAAATAAAAATAATACTACTACTGTTTCGTTTATCATTTGTAATTGCACAAAATGAGGAATGATTTTCGCATGTTTTATTAAATTTATGGTATGACAATTAATTACAGTCTATAAAATTAATTACAACAAAAAAATTAAGGTGTGGGGTACTTTATACTAAAACGGTGTGGAGTATTCACCAAATTAAATCATTTAATTGAAATTTGTTGCTTATAGCCTTATAGTATATCAAATCAAAAGAATTCTCAATGTGAATTGGTGATTTTTTTGTTCCTCTCGTCAAGTTGCCATGTGAACAACTGAAATAAGAATCAATTGTATTATTTCATCACCGAAAAACAAAATCTATATATACATTTTTGAATCACTTTTAACAAATAAATCCTGGACTTGGAACTTATCTACAAATACATTTTTGATTTTATTTTATTTTGAATCACTTTTTGGAGAGTATGATCTTCTTCTTATAGTAGTTCATATGTAGAAGCCATCCATCACAATTTTTTTAAAAAAAAACACTCCCTAAAACTTTCTTTTCTGATTTTTTAATTCCGGCGTTCTAATTTTGTTTTTCTATATACTTTTTTCTAATTTGCAATTGTACAAAATAATTATCACTCCCTAAAACTTTCTTTTCTGATTTTTTTATTCCGGCGTTCTAATTTTGTTTTTCTATATACTTTTTTCCAATTTGCAATTGTACAAAATAATTATCACTCCCTAAAACTTTCTTTTCTGATTTTTATTAAATTTTGTTCTTTTTCTGGTAAGAATAAATTGTACATGTATTACGTTGATATTGCTAATTCAAATAATGTTAACAAAATTGCCCAAATATAGGCTATATTAAAAGAAAAAACAGTTAGTCAAAAACACAAGTATATCAATCCCAAGTTATGATTAAACTAAATATTTATTTATAATATTTTTTACCCAAAACAATAAATTTATATATACTAAAAAATTTGAAGTACCTTTTTTAAAGTACTTTTGTGTTAGTAAAGTAAGAATTTACAAAGAATGTCATCACATTAAAGTCAAAAAACAGTTATTATTTTTGAAATATTATTATTGATATATTTTAAATTTATAAAACATTATTAATTAAAATATCATGATACGAGTTATATAGCGGGACGAGTTTCGATTAATATAACATGGGTTATATCTATACTTTATTATTTTATCATCACTAATTTTTTTTAGTTACAACATTAATATAAAATTATATAACTTTAATACTAAATTAAAAACCATAAAATTTAATATTTATTATATATATGAATAAAACATTTGCCCCGTGGTGTACCACGGGTTAAATCCTAGTGATAAGTAAAAGTGAAACATTCACTCCAAAAATGAGATGTAAAATTTCACATACAAGATAGAGTAAAGTGGCCATGTGAATCTTTTTTGTTCTTAAAAATCATTTTGGTTAATTTAGAGGAACATGGTGTGCGAATCCATGACCATAACTTCAAGGACATGATGATGAGTTGTGTTTTTCGTCTTTGCTTCTTGGAACTTTGTGAGTTTTTGATCTGTGAATCCTGTGATTAGTACGAATCATAAAGCCTTGTTTGGCTGTTTCGCATTCACGACAAAATACTGACTCTGTCACTTATTTTGCTCTTATTTAGAAATTATTTATCTTCCATTATCTCTTAGTTTTTATGATTTGTTTGCTCCTACTAATCATTGTTACCTGGCGATTATAAAACTAAACCAACACCTAACAGTTATTAAACGTGTATTTAACGGTAAGAGACTTTTTTGCAAAATGTAAAAAAACGGTTAGAAATATAGTACATGCCCATTATAAGAGATAGGCCCAATGTAGCCTTTAAAGTGGTTATTGGGCCTCACTCCTTATTAATTATGTTCTTTACCCGTATGAGAAAAGAATCCACCCGGAAAAATTCTCCGACCCGACTAAAGAAATGGGATCGTCTGCGAATACAGAGACGGCGATTATCATCGCCTCACCGGCGTCGAACAACCAGAATCCGGCAACCAACGGCGGAGATGCGAATCAGAATCATACTCCTGATGGGATACTCGCTCTCACGAACTCAGAATCGGATGCGTCGAAGAAGAGGAGAATGGGGGTGCTTCCTCTTGAGGTTGGTACTCGCGTGATGTGTCAATGGAGAGACGGAAAATACCATCCGGTGAAGGTTATCGAGCGCCGGAAGAATTATAATGGTTGCCACAATGATTACGAGTACTACGTTCATTACACAGAGTGTATGTCGTTTCCTCGTTCCTCTATCTGAATTTGTGAATCTAGGGTTTATAGATTGGAGCTGAAATTTCGAAGAATTGAATTAGAGGGCTTTGTAATTCTAGTTGTTTGATTTTCACAACTCTTGTGTGGAAACTGCAGTTAATAGAAGATTGGATGAATGGATTAAGCTTGAACAGCTTGACCTTGATTCAGTAGAGTGTGCTTTAGATGAAAAAGTTGAAGACAAGGTAATAGCCATTTTGCCTCAAATTCTTGAGCTTTTTTCTCTGTAGTTTGCACTGAAACAGAGAAGTGTGATTGTGGTTACAGGTGACTAGCTTGAAGATGACACGACACCAGAAACGGAAGATTGATGAGACTCATGTAGAGGTATAGTGATTGGCTAACTTAGTTAAAGTTTGTTGTGGTTTTAGTGAACTGTGTGGCATGCTATATATTCTGATGTTTTTCGATATTTTGTACAGGGTCATGAAGAGCTGGATGCTGCGAGTTTGCGTGAACACGAGGAGTTCACGAAAGTGAAGAACATAGCTACGATTGAGCTTGGGAAGTATGAGATTGAGACATGGTACTTCTCTCCTTTTCCTCCAGAATACAATGACTGCGTGAAGCTCTTTTTCTGTGAGTTTTGCCTCAGTTTTATGAAGCGCAAAGAGCAGCTTCAAAGGCATATGGTGAGCAACTGGTTGTTTTTATCATCTGTATCAGTTTTATTATTTTTTCCTTACATTTTTTTAATATTTCATACATACCTTTTATGGTTCATTCTTCTTACTTAATTTTTGCTCAATCATCCTTTATCTATGTAGAGGAAATGCGATTTGAAGCACCCCCCTGGGGATGAAATCTATCGAAGCTCTACTTTGTCAATGTTTGAGGTAATATCTTGACGTTTTCATCTTTAAATCATCTGCTTTAGCCTTACGTTGTTTATTTGGAAGCTTATTTGTAAATGAATTTTCATGACCTGGAAGTTTATTTGTAATATCTTACAGGTGGATGGCAAGAAGAATAAGGTCTATGCACAGAACCTCTGTTATCTGGCAAAGTTATTTCTTGACCACAAGACTCTTTACTATGACGTTGATTTGTTCCTGTTCTATATTCTCTGTGAATGTGATGATCGTGGATGCCACATGGTTGGATACTTTTCAAAGGTATCGGCACTCTTTGGCTCTTAGGTCTGTTATGTACTTGTTCGGTTTCAATTTGATGGTCTGATGAAAAAATGCAATTTCTGTTGTTAAAGGAAAAACACTCGGAAGAAGCTTACAACTTGGCTTGCATCCTTACACTTCCTCCATATCAAAGGAAAGGCTATGGCAAATTCCTAATAGCCTTCTGTGAGTTTTTTTTTTTCTTTTCATTTAACTCGCTTGTTGTTTTCTCTCATATCTCTCTATAAAGCTTACACGTTATGTTGTGTTACAGCCTATGAACTCTCAAAGAAAGAGGGCAAAGTCGGGACACCGGAAAGGCCGCTCTCTGATCTAGGTTTAGTGAGTTACAGAGGTTACTGGACTCGGATTTTATTAGACATCCTGAAAAAGCACAAGGGAAACATATCTATCAAGGTATGTATATCTATATATCCGTAATCATGCTTTTTAGCCTATCCATCAACAGATTATTTCATATATCCCAACTTTTTTTTCAAATGTAGGAGCTGAGCGACATGACAGCGATTAAAGCAGAAGATATATTAAGCACCCTGCAGAGCTTGGAACTGATACAATACAGGAAAGGACAACACGTGATCTGCGCGGATCCTAAGGTACTGGACCGACACTTGAAAGCGGCAGGCCGAGGTGGTCTTGATGTGGATGTGAGCAAAATGATATGGACTCCTTACAAAGAGCAGAGCTAAGAGGGCATTACACTTCAAATAGTTATGGTTATGGTCTACTTTTAATCTGCATATCCTTAGATGACTTTTGTCTGTAAAAATTTAACACGCACTTTGTTCAATAGATCTTGTAACAGTAGGAATCTTTTGTCTGGATGGTAAAACGAACAGTGGTAACTTTGGTGTTTCTTTCTTGTTCCATTCTGATTGACAATAGTTTGGTTAAAATTTGGAATCTTTGAAAAAATGCCGAAAGAGAAGTTATAACTAAATAGCAAAAATTTCTAGCTTTCTACTTCGGCTAGAGATCTCCGGACATCAAAAACAGAAAGATATCGAGAGATATGTAAAAACTATAATTAAGATGACTATAAATGAGCATGTAAATGATACAGAACAAAAAAAGTATGGAAAATTTAGTTAGGGTTCTTTGTGCTCCTTTGAACTGCAAATACACTCTGGATATGGATTCTCATAAAAGGCTTCTTCAGTTCTAAACCGTGCACGTCCTTTGATCCCCTGCGTTGGTCCTTTCCTTCTCCTCGGTGCACCTTGTCTGCAAAACCGATCAAATAAATCCTCTTCTCGCATTAAAGATTTGTTTTTTTTTTTTCGGTTTATTGTATAAGAAGCAAACGTATGATTCTTTTGTTACCTGTCTTTATGCATTTGATTCACAAAATTGGACAACTTTGGTCCTTCTTTTAACTGTCCTCTCTCCATCTTACCGAAGAGTTTCACTAGTCCTTTCCTGCAAATAACACCATACTTGTCATGGGCTATAACAAAATGACTAAAAGATTAATGCTTTTTTTTTTTAAGGTAACAGAAGGAAGGAGATAGAACCTGTCGGGAGTGATAGTCCTGCGATGCCCTAGAAATCTGCGGTGACCTTCAACCGCTCTTGCCATGTTTCCAGAATGTGAAGGAACAAACACATCACTCTCAACAGAAATTATGTAATCAAGAGCAGC